ACATTGTCCCAAATCAATGTTTTTTCTGTATCTCAATTTAGAACTTTCTTACAATTATTTTTTATAGTATCTATATAAATATTATATATACAAAATCGAACAGTATATAGATAGATAGATATATAATTTATAGATAGATAAATAATATGAATAAACTATAAAAAAATAAATTTATAAAAGATAAAATAAATATAGATAGATAGATAATTGCAGTATTTTTTTAAACTTTAATATAGAATAGATAGATTGATAGATTCATAGATAATTATATTTTATTTTAGATAGATTTTTTTTTTTTCGAATGAAATTCTGAATAGAAAAAAAATATTATAAATAGATATGAATATTTTCACAGACTTTTTAAGATATATATTAATATATCTAATAGATAGATGATTTTCATTTTTTATTTTTGTTAATCTAGGATAGATAGATAGATTTTTAGATAGATAGATAGATAGATAGATAGATTATGATATATAACATTCTCGAACACATAGATATTTAGATATATATATAGATATTTAGATATATATAATAGATTTATTTTTTAAACTGGGATAGATAGATAAATAGATAAATTAAATAGATAGATAGATAGATTATTTTCAGATAAATTTTTTGTATTGAACAGACATGTTCTTCCTATATATATATTTATATAGATATATTTACAGACTGAGATAGATAAATAGAAATTATCATATGAAATAGACTGAATTTTAGATAAAATAGATCTTTGAAAAAACTAGCCTAAGATAGATAATAATTAATTCTAACTAGTTAGGATAGATATTTGTTTATAGATATAAATAGATAATTAGATAGATATTCTTTAATTATTTATGATTAAAGATTTTTGTAGATAGATATTAAATATTTAGATATCTAGATAGATATTTATATGAATAGAAATTCTAAATTTTATAAATAAATTAAAATTTTTGAATATAAAATATTTAAATATAACAGATAATAGATAGATAGATAGATATTTATTTTTTTGTTGTAAATTTTAAAATATTAAAAAATAGACAATCGATAAAGATTTTAATAAGTTTTTCTTTGATATTTTATGAAAGTCGCAGATTGAAATAAATAAATTTTTCTAGAAGAAAAAATTTAATTTTTAATTGTAATTAATTTGTCCAAATAAATATACACTGATAAACCATTTTAATAATAATGAAGGCTTTACTATCTCGAAGAATATCAGAACTGGACAATCGACCGAAGTGGAACAAACAAATAATTGGACAATTTTTTAAAACATGTTTTTTTTCTTTTAAACCATATAACATGACCTTTTTCCGGTTCATTTAAAAAATTTTTAAAAATTTGTTTATTTGAAGAAAAAAAATTAAAAATCGCCGGAACAAGACTTTTTATCATGTCCAATTTATATTAGTATAAGACTTTACATTATCGACCAATTTAATGAATATATACCGAATGTCACAAACATCTTTTGAAATTTTATTCAACAAAATATTGTTTTCAAAATTAAAAATAAAAAAAAAATTTTTCTTTTTAACAAATCAAAAATTTATGAAATAACGCTTTTTACTGTATGGGATTTTTTTGATAAAAAATCTCCCATAAATACCCATACATTTATTAAGATGTTTTTTTGTAATTTATTTTTTAATATTTATTATTTAAAACTGATTCATTATAAGAATGATTTATTTCTTTTTTTTTTTTTTTGATTTTAATATTGTTAATAACATATTTTTTTAAATTTATGATTTTAACAGATATATATTATCCCAAAAAGTTGGGAGAAGATAAAATTTTTAAGATAAATATGAAAAGTTTTTTGTTTTATTTTTAACATCTAATTAAATAACCTTCAGAATAAAAATTTAAAACATAAATCTTGAAAATAATAAAAAAATAAATAAAAGCTTTTTCATCTTTACTTTATGTAAATTTTCTTTAAATTATACTGGTAATCAAATGTATTTTGGGGCCCTTTCCTTCATTTTAAAAAAAACATTCGTTATTTTCAATGATTTATCACTTAAAATATTGAAATATTCTGCTGTCGAAATAATTGAAACAAAATCATTCTTTTGAATAAAATTTAAATTTTTTTTAATAAATTTTTTTTATTTTTTAATATGAAATTTAATTTATTTCAATATTGGGGTTTTTTAATTTCTCTTTTTTTTTAAAATGCTATAAAAAATTTATCTTCTGATTTGAACATGATTCTCACTCAACAGTTTCGATGTTTGTCTATATTTCTGATATTTCTTTATTTGAGGTATTATGTACATATTTACATTAGTCGGACTATTGTCCTCATCTTTGTCGCCATATTTATCACAACGTTTCGGCCGTTGTACGCTCCGGCCTTCTTCAGGTGGTTGGAATTTCGAACTGAAACCCTTTATTTCGATCGCTGGGGTAGACTGTTCTAATTCCACGTGCCATGTTTGATGGATGTCAGTTATCAGTTATCTCCTGCTAATTTTCCCTCTGAAAGTTCTCCACTGCCTTAACCAGGTATTGAACTCACCTTCTTTGGGTCCTGTCACTGGATCTAACCAACGCCTTTATCCACTGTGCCATGTGTCCTTGAGGACATCTGGGTATGAACTTCTGAGTATTATAAACCTAATGTTTTCAGCATCATTTTTACCAGTGCTCATATTGCAATTTTTTGCTGTTATCATTGCATGTTTTACCAGAGTTCATATTGCAACTTTGTTATCATTGCTTTTCTCTGGCACTCCTTATTACTGGTTCCCATATTGTATTTATTTCTATGCTTGGTCGGCTCAGGAGATTTTTGTGGCCTAGCATATGTGCTGATTCCTTAAGTTTACGAATTTTCCAATGGTGTTCCTTGTCTATGATCTCAACATGATCCCCACAGGGGGTGATCTCCTTCTCTCTCCATATGTGGTCAGCCACGCCTGATTTTTTCACTTTTCCCCTCGTGTTACAGCTTTCTGGTGTTCTTGAAGCCTTACCTTGAGGGGCGGCCTGTCTCTCCTTTATATTTCCTTTCCGCAGCTGCATGGGATAGCGTATACACAGTCTTTAGTCATGTTCTCTCTCTATGGGGGGTCTTACTCGTGAGAGATATTCTGCGAAGTGTCGTCACGCTTTTGAAGGTTGTCCTGATGTTATATGGACCGCAGATCTTTTATTTTCTCTGATAACCCCTTCACATAAGGCAGGCAGACTGTTTTCTGAGTGTTGTTGTCCTCCTCCTCCTCCTCCTCTTGTACCCGCCTATCCCAGTTTTTGGGGCTGCTGCCATGTACCCAGGGTAGTTGTTGCGTTGTAGGGTACTACTTATACTGACCAATTCCTTATCTAACGTCTCTGGATCGCCACTTATGACTTTTTGCTCGATGTTGTAAGCATCGGACGATCCCTTTCTTTACGCTGTATGGATGGTGGGAGTTGAAATTGAGGTACTGTCCGGTGAATGTTGGTTTACGGTATACGGATGTCTTGAACCCATTCTCTGTTCGAGATATTAGAACATCCAGGAATGGGAGTGAGTTGTTACTCTCTTTCTCCATTGTGAACTGTATCGAAGGTCTTATTGAGTTCACATGGTCCAGAAGAACCTGGACATTCTTCCTGATGTGGCCAGAGTATGAAGGTGTCATCTACGTACCTTAACCATATAGTTGGCTTTAGAGATATAGATTCTAATGCCATTTCTTCAAAGTATTCCATGTATATATTCGCCATTGCTGGTGATAATGGCGAGCCCATTGCTAAGCCCTCATCCTGTCGATATATGTGAGATCCCATTCCGAAGTGTGTTGTTTGTGTACAGAAAGTCAACATCTCCATCAGATTATCTATTGGAATACTGGTCCGCTCCTCTAGGGAAGAATAATTGAGGTTAATCTATCTCTGACTACTGAGAGTGCTCCTCCGTGGGTACCTTGGTGAACAGACTCACCACGTCCAAGCTCACCATCTGGTTGGATAGAATGGGAGCATCTTTGATTATTTCCACGAAGTGGGCGGAGTTTCGGACATATGAAAAAGACTTTCCGATCAATGGGTCAATTATATCTACAAGGAAAACTCAGAGGGTGGCACACAGAGCCTTGGCAAAAATAATCGGCCTGAGGAAATAACGTCTTTGTTTTGTTCTTAGGGAGACCGTATATGTTAGGTAACTTGTTTCCACGCTGCGATAACTATTTATACGTCTTGTTTTGAAATGTTTTTCGAATAATTTTTTCTCACATATATCGACAGGATGAGGGCTTAGCAATGGGCTCGCCATTATCACCAGCAATGGCGAATATATATTGGAATACTTTGAAGAAATGGCATTAGAGTCTATATCGCTAAAGCCAACTATATGGTTACGGTACGTAGATGACACTTTTCATACTCTGGCCACATCAGGAAGAAGTCCAGGTTCTTCTGGACCATGTGAACTCAATAAGACCTTCGATACAGTTCACAATGGAGAAAGAGAGTAACAACAAATCACTCCCATTCCTGGATGTACTAATATCTCGAACAGAGAATGGGTTCAAGACATCCGTATACCGTAAACCAACATTCACCGGACAGTACCTCAATTTCAACTCCCACCATCCATACAGCGTAAAGAAAGGGATCGTCCGATGCTTTTCAACATCGAGCAAAAGTCATAAGTGGCGATCCAGAGACGTTAGATAAAAAAATTGGTCAGTATAATAGTAGTACCCTACAACGCAACAACTACCCTGGGTACATGGCAGCAGCCCCCAAAAACTGGGATAGGCGGGTACAAGAGGAGGAGGAGGAGGAGGACAACAACACTCAGAAAACAGTCTGCCTGCCTTATGTGAAGGGGTTATCAGAGAAAATACAAAAGATCTGCGGTCCATATAATCAAGGACAACCTTCAAAAGCGTGACAACACTTCGCAGGTATCTCTCCCGAGTGAGACCCCCATAGAGAGGAACATGACTAAAGACTGTGTATACGCTATCCCATGCAGCTGCGGAAAGGAATATAAAGGAGAGACAGGCCGCCCCCTCAAGGTAAGGCTTCAAGAACACCAGAAAGCTGTAACACGAGGGGAAGTAGAAAAAATCAGGCGTGGCTGACCACATATGGAGAGAGAAGGAGATCACCGCCCCCTGTGGGATCATGTTGAGATCATAGACAGGGAACACCATTGGAAAATTCGTAAACTTAAGGAATCAGCACATATGCTAGGCCACAAAAAATCTCCTGAGCCGACCAAGCATAGAAATAAATACAATATGGGAACCAGTAATAAGGAGTGCCAGAGAAAAGCAATGATAACAAAGTTGCAATATGAACTCTGGTAAAACATGCAATGATAACAGCAAAAATTGCAATATGAGCACTGGTAAAAATGATGCTGAAAACATTAGGTTTATAATACTCAGAAATTCATACCCAGATGTCCTCAAGGACACATGGCACAGTGGATAAAGGCGTTGGTTAGATCCAGTGACAGACCCAAAGAAGGTGAGTTCAATTCCTGGTTAAGGCAGTGGAGAACTTTCAGAGGGAAAATTAGCAGGAGATAACTGATAACTGACATCCATCAAACATGGCACGTGGAACTTAGAACAGTCTACCCCAGTGATCGAAATAAAGGGTTCAGTTCGAAATTCCAACCACCTGAAGAAGGCCGGAGCGTACAACGGCCGAAACGTTGTGATAAATATGGCGACAAAGATGAGGAAAATAGTATTAATATAATTAATGTAAATACTGTTTATAATTTTTGTTTTAAAATAATAAATTTGTTTGATCTGTTTGAATTCCAAATTCACATTCGATAAAGGATAGTCCTGAGAAAATTATATTTTACGTTTTTCTTCTTTTTTTTTTTTAAATTAAATCGAAATTATATTGTTTTGAAATTATGCTTGTATAGAATGAAAAAATAAACATTTTGTAACGAGTTTTTCAAATATGAAAGTTTGGAGGGGAAGTCTTGACGTGGTGTAATGGTTAGCAAGCTATCCTTGTTAGATGTATTACGACTGAATATTCAGTTCGATCTTTACTATCGGTTTCAATTACTTTCATTTGTATTTTCCATTTATCTACAATTAGAAAATTCTTTTGCAAAAATAAAACGTCATGTAAAAAAGTTAAAACAAACTTGTCTTTTGGAATAGTTACGACTAAAATTTAAGTTGAATCCTAAAAGGGTAATATCCATACTTTTCGGCATTGTGGTTTTTCACGCTTATTGTCAATAAAATATGGAAGTTCACGATTAGACGAGAACTATGTAAGAAAAAAAAATGGAAATTCTAAGATTAATGTATCTGGAAGTTCTACCAAATTTCTCAAAAAAAATTCTATCTTAAATTTCTTTTATCTCTCTAAAGAATTTTTTTATTGACACATACGCCAATGTATTTGAAGTGTTTAGTATTTATTAATTCCATATATTCTGAATTTGCACGATGCGCCATCACGGTTTTCTTTCCAATTTCCGATTATATTTTCTCTTTTTGGTAAGGTTTCTCTTGAGTCATGAGTCTTGAAATACTTATTAAATGATGCCGATTTTATGTTCAGTATCATTCTTATCACAACTTACACTAGAATTCAAAAGCTTGAATCCAACCCCAGAATCAGCATGGTATAAAATTTACAGAAGAGTGGAAAAAAAAAAATGAAAAAGAGCTCTTAGAGTCATTGAAAAAAAGAATGGAATTAATTATCAAACATACATTGAGAAACTTTTACAAAGAATGCCAAAATTTTATGCTGCAGTAATCAAGGCTAAAGGAGGATATTTTGACGAGAGCAAAATTTAATCATAATTTTTTTTTTCTTTTTGTCATAATAAAAGTTCTAATAAAAATATCATATATCACTTTGTTTTAACAATGTATATTTTTTTCTTATTTAAATTAAAACAACTATATTTGGGGCCAATTTAAAAATTATTAAGGGTTTCCTCAAACTTCTGAACTGTATTGAATAAAATCAGCACAGTCCCATTTATCGTTTGGACACTGGACTCAAGAAGAGAAATAAGAATGTTGCTTTCTATTTTGTATTCGTTTGGTATACGGCCAGGAATATTTAAGCGAACAAGTCCCATCTCTTCACATCTGTGCTTTTATCTGCTCAGAATACATAGTCTAGGAAGAGATTAAATAGATTGGACCTCTTGTTACCTTCTTTTCGTACTTTTGCATATTAAGGTTTTCAATGTTTCAGTATTGGGCTTCTCACCAGACATATATCTAAAATTTACCGATATAGTTCTTTAATTAGATGTATACATTCAGCGGATGTGACATATACTGTCTTACGTTGCAAAAGAGATCTACCTGGTTGACTGCTTGCTTGAGTGATTGCAGCAAGGATTCTGCGACCTTGATACATTTAGAAATTAATGCAAGATCATCGGCAAAGTTAAAGTCATTCAGGTATTGTGGAAGGTACTGACTACTTTGTATCATGACATACATGCTATCATTACAATCCTTAACAGAGCGAAAAATGACAACAGGGTCTTTTTTTGATTTTCAATAGAAAAATAATTTTTATATTTAATGTTCATTAGTACATTTACCATAATAGTTTACCAAAATAGGCGGGTGGCCGAGTGATTAGAAACTTCGCTTTCTGACTATGAGACCTGAGTTCGAATCTCAACATGGTCGATTTGTCCAATACAAGAACATGACCTTTGTCCGGTTAGAAGAACGAGAATGAAAATATGTGGAGATGAAGAAATAATTAAAAATCTCCGGAATTTGTATATGTTCCATCCAGTCGTCTTTAAAGACGAACAGATAAGTTTCTGATCCATACAGTAGGACTAGTTCAATCAATGTTCAAAATGTTTGGACATTTAAGGAGTATGGAAGGTTCGCGCGCACTGGCCTTGTTCTCGCTAGATAACAGACTCTTTCCAAAAACTGTAACTAAGGTCTGCTCAGCATAGTTGCAGTATAAACCACGGGTTTACATAGTTGCAATATATACCACAGGCTCTGTAATTGTTGAGCAAACACAAATCTGTCTGAGAGAGCGTCTGCAATAGTGATTAGATAGCCAACCTAATAGAAGGGTATCCTTGAATACAAGTGGCCAGCTATTATTATTTTACCAAAATGCTTATAATGAAACAGGTTTACTGCTAAGAAAGTTGGTTTATACATCTACCAATCGTCAGTATATTGAATATTGCTGCCACATCTGGCAAAATCCCCCAACACAAAAAAAGTCTGTAATATCGGCCCCGACCTGACATCTCGCCGTTATGTAGCTTCGCTCTATCTTTACTACGAATATTTTCATGGCAATTGATTTAATGAGCTTTCCTCTTTAGTAACTCTACCTCGTGAATTTAAGCGTAGTACTAGATTGACAAGTAAATCTCATTATTTTACTGTTGAAATACATGTAATGGTTTAGTAGATTAATCTTGTATTTGGTTCTTGCGCTTCCCGACCGTGGAAGGCTTTTTCAGTTATTTGCTTCACTGTCACCTATCTTCAAAAATTTAAAAGCACCCTCAGACGATATCTTCTGTCTTTCTACAACCTGTTCTTTTATTGTCTTTTCGGCTTCTTTCAATTCCAGTAATCCCTTGTATTTTATTGGCATTATCGCCTTGCTTGGGGTGAAATGACTTTCAAAAATTACGAACACAGAGAGAAAGAGAGAGAGAGAGAGAGAGAAAGTGGGAAAGAGAAAGAGAGACTGACAGTGATAGATAGATAGATAGATAGATAGATAGATAGATAGATAGATAAAGTGAGAAAGAGAATGAAAAATAGAGACTGACAGTGATAGATAGATAGAGATAGATAGAGAGAGAGATAAAGTGAGAAAGAGAAAGGGAAAGAGAGACTGAGTGGTAGATAGATAGATACAGAGAGAGAGAGAGATAAAGTGGGAAAGAGAAAAAGAAAGAGAGACTGAAAGTGATAATAGATAGATAGATTCATAGATTTTAAATAGATAAAAATAAAGTGAGAAAATTAAAGAGACTTCAGTGATAGATAGATAGAGAGATAGAGAGAAATAAAGTGGGAAAGAGAAAGAGAAAGAGAGACTGACAGTGATAGATAGATAGAGAGAGAGAGAGATAAAGTGGGAAAGAGAAAGAGAGACTGACAGTGATACATAGATAGAGAGAGAGAGAGATAAAAATTATAAAGAGAATGAATAAGATATATATTTATATATAGATAGATAGAGATTGAGAGAGAGAGAGATAAAGTGAGAAAGAGAAAGCGAAAGAATTTTACTGACATGTGATAGATAGATAGAGAGAGATCTGAATAAAGTTCTGAGAAAGAGAGACTGACAGATAGATAGATAGATAGATAGATAGATAGATAGATAGATAGATGTGTTAATGTAGCCAACCAATAAATGAATGGTGGAACAAACTGCCTGTATGCGAATGACTGATTCTTTCTTTCATTAATTCATTCTCTTTCACACTTTTCCAATAATCTGCTGGCTCAGATGTGATACGATCCTTTCTTCACGTCAATAGATTTTTTTTTGTTTTTTTGTTTTTTTTCAATTCACATGTTACAGATAAATTGCACTGAATCTTCCCTGGTATCGTTGACTTAGTTTTTATTCAAGTTCAGTTACTTTTTAGGTTCAACTGAAAAGCGAAAAAAAATTCCTGACTTTGACTGGATGCGTTTTCAACATTGCAAACGATTCATGGATTTACAAATCGCTCCGATTAATGCGAGTAAGTTGGCTGGGGCGGGCAGCGGGATGAGACAGGCGTTAAGAAATCCAGTCAAGATGCGGGATTAGCAAGCCCTTAACCTTGTCTTTCCGGTTGACCGACGCAAGGTTCTTGTTTTACAGACTGCAGATTATCCTAAGTGTGCACAAACAAAGAAAGGGAAAGAGAGAACGAAAGATAACAGAAAGGAAAAACAGAGAAAGATTATATAGAAAGAAAAAATGAAAGAGAAGAAAACAAAAACAAAAAAACGAACACAGAAACAAACGTAGAAAAAGAAAGAAAAGCAAAAAAAGAAAGTCAAATGAATAAAAAGTTAAAAAAGAAGGGGAAAGAAAGCGTAAAAGAAAAAGAAAGAGAAGAAAGAAATGTATAAGACAAAAGGGAAAAAAGAAAGAAAGAAAAAGAAAACGAAAGAAAAGGAAAACGTAATGCAAAAAAAAAAACAGAAAGAAAAATTAAAAAAAGAAATGTAAATGAACAAAGAGAGAAAGACGATAAAAAGAAAATGAAAAAGAAAGAAGTCAGAAATGAAAGAAAAAGGGAAAAAATGAAAGACAAAAGAATTAAAAGAGAAAAGAGAATATCAAGGAAAAGATAGAAAGAAAATAACCAATTGAAAGAAAGTTGGTAAATAAAAAAAAACAAAAGGGAAAAAGAGAGAGAGAGATGTTAAAAGAATGACTGTATTGTAAAGATTGAAAGAGAAAAAAGGATGGAGAAAACGAAGAACATGTACTGGTAAAATAAAAAGAGTGAGAAGGAGACAAAAGTATTTTATAAAATAAGAAAAAAATGTCATTAGATGAAGAAGAAGAAGAAGTAGTAGTAGTAGAAGAAGTAGTAGAAGAAGTAGTAGTAGAAGAAAAAGAAGATGAAGGAGTAGTAGTAGTAGTAGAAGAAGTAGTAGCAGTAGAAGAAGAAAAAGAAGATGAAGGAGTATTAGTAGTAGTAGAAGAAGTAGTAGTAGTAGTAGAAGTAGTAGTAGTAGTAGAAGAAGAAAAAGAAGATGAAGGAGTATTAGTAGTAGTAGAAGAAAAAGTAGTAAGAGTGGAAGAAAAAAAAGAAGATGAAGGAGTAGTAGTAGTGGTAGTAGTAGTAGAAGAAGTAGTAGTAGAAGAAAAAGAAGATGAAGGAGTAGTAGTAGTAGTAGAAGAAGAAGTAGTAGTAGAAGAAAAAGAAGATGAAGGAGTAGTAGTAGTGGTAGTAGTAGTAGAAGAAGTAGTAGTAGAAGAAAAAGAAGATGAAGGAGTATTAGTAGTAGTAGAAGAAGTAGTAGTAGTAGAAGAAGTAGTAGTAGTAGTAGTAGTAGTAGTAGTAGTAGAAGAAGAAAAAGAAGATGAAGGAGTATTAGTAGTAGTAGAAGAAGTAGTAGTAGTAGAAGAAGTAGTAGTAGTAGTAGAAGTAGTAGTAGTAGTAGTAGAAGAAGAAAAAGAAGATGAAGGAGTAGAAGTAGTAGTAGGAGGAGTAGTACTAGAAGAAGAAGAAGAAGAAGAAGAAAAAAAGAAGACAAAGAAGTACAAGAAATAGTAGTAGAAGATGAAGAAGTAGAATTAGTAGTAGTAGAAGAAGAAGCAGAAGTAGTAGTAGTAATAGAAGAAGAAAACGAAGAAGAACAAGAACAAGAAAGTACAAAAAAAAAGAAAGATTAGGTGTAATATTTAAAACAAACAATTAGAATACAAAAAAAAAATGGTAATATAAGAGAAGACGGGAAAGAATGAAAATTGGAGAAGGAATATTAATTAATTGATTCGTTTTTACATCTTATCAACCTGAAAAAAAAGATGTTTAGATTGTAAGAATTATTTTTGTAGATATTAATGGTTTTATGTTACAAATCTTACTATTTGACCCATAGGTGGGAAGAGAAGAGGTGGATTCATATATTTCCCAATGTTATTTGTGCGTAAGTGAATATAACAAACCCAACTGAAACTTGTTTCTCCGATTAATAATTCCGTTCGATTATCCATTACACCAGTCGAATATTCAAGCATACAGTACTTGATATTCCAAAGAAGTCACCCATCAGTCTTTACGTTGCTTAACTTCGGCGATCGTACGCGAACTGGTGTTTCAACGTGATATCGCCGTAAGCCTGCATAGGGATAAATATATGTGAAGGAATAATAAAGAATAAAGCAAGCCCCCCACCCCACCACCACCAAAGAGACAGGATTGAACCCTTAAACAGTAAGAGAGATAGCTCCGAGGAAAAAAAACTGAATCAAAGAGAGAAAAAAAAAGGAGAAAAAAAGTAGTAGTAGTAGTAGTAGTAGTAGTAGTAGGAGGAGGAGGAGGAGGAGGAGAAGAAGAAGAAGAAGAAGAAGAAGAAGAAGAAGAAGAAGAAGAAGAAGAAGAAGAAGAAATATTTGAGTCGGAGACTTGGGTGAGGAGAGATAAAAAAAATACAAAAAAAAACTGGGAGTGGCATCGGATTATCAGCTATGTCTGAAAGGTCATCTCGTGGCCCATAGATTTACAGGGATTTGTTGGTAAACCCCTCCTAAGTTCCCCAAATCCCGAACCGCCCATCTTCCCGGGCTTTGACAGCCGCGAATCGGCCGCTTGGATTTACGGCTCGCACTGTGGTCGCTTCGTGTCGGCAAATACGCGCCGTTTGCTATTTTCACGCAAGACTTACTTGTGCAAATCTCCCGCCAATCAGCCGAAACTGCTCAACGCTGTTCAACAGGATAAGAATGACTTCGGCCACGGACTGGAGGATAGTCGATGCGAAGCTTTCGTAAAAGCCGATAAGCTGGTGACATCTTGTATTATGAGCGATCATCCTTTAGTTTTGCAAATCCTATCTCGTAGAGAGCGCCATTTTTCCCCATTTTGTTTATTTATTTTCATTTTTATTTTATTTTTATTTATTTATTTATTTATTTGTAATATCGTCTCTTTTTTCATTTTCTTTTTTTGGGGCTTTTTCTAGGTTTTCATTGTTTTTTTCTACGTTTACATACAATATTTACTGTCGTTCCGGACGTCAAGAACCTTCTAGATTTACGGCCGAACTCCGATTTTGACTTGGGGGAAATCATGAATAATATATATAAATAAAATTAATACATAGAAATAAACTTGAAATTTAAAACGTAAAGCTAAAAAAATATAATTTGGCGTTTAGAATGCAGGGCAAACGTTCAAGATAAATTCTAAAAAATATCAACATCTACGACAAAAATATTATTTCTTCTGTCTCATTTCATATATATATATATATATATATATATATATATATATATGAAATGAGACAGATGAAATAATATTTTTATTAGATGCAATCGTCAGGCTCTGACGATTGCATATAGCATGAAACAGACTGTCGCCTCTAAGTGTTGACTTCTGTGTTCACTTTTATATATATATATATATATATATATATATATATATATATATATATATATATATATATATTCAGTAGTGTTAATGGTGTGCTGAAATATTTTGAAAGAGGCTCTTATTCGGATTCCAGACTAGCATCGTAATAAAGGCACCTGCTAGTATGCAAACCAAAACAAAAATGCATCTTAAACAGTCAAACATAATGAGAAATTAACAACAGCCCTAGAAAAATGGCTAAAGAAATGGCCGAAAACACTTGGAATAATGGACCAGAGAGACAATTTTGCACTGTCTTACTCCCACCAAATGAAATAATGTAAGAATGCTGGAAAAACAAATTTTCATTTTCTGTCATATTCAACGAAGCATGTTTAAATGGTTGGTGCTCAAATATGTATATATGTGTGTGTGTATGTGTGTGTGTGTGAAAGTGGACTTTTATATTTACATACGCTGCATCCCTGATGTTGAGCACGTTCACCCCATAATTATAGACTACTTAAAAATTATATCGTTATCATATATATATATATATATATATATATATATATATATGTGTGTGTGTGTGTCGCTTTGTGTGTGTGTGTGTGTGTGTGTGTGTCGCTTTGTGTGTGTGTGTGTGTGTGTGATTTATGCGTTTGTGTGTGTGTAGTTATTAATAATGACAAAAATGTAGTTTAATTTTCTTCTTTTTATTGAATTTGGAGTTACATGTACATTTTCATCCAATCGTCAGCATTTTTTTTATTACAAATAATTACTGTTGTTTTATCACTTGATATTGATGCTGTATTTGCAAGAACTGCATACCTCGCTTTCTTTGTCTTCCGGAATTCTCTGATTGAACTTATTTTGGGAATAATGTAGACTTTATCTCTAATACTATTATATATATATATATATATATATATATATATATATATATATATATATATATAGAGAGAGAGAGAGAGAGAGAGATTGATAATGAAAATATAGTTTTAAGGTGTGCTATATTTATGGAATAAAGTGCTCAATATCAGAGATAGAGCGTATGTAAATATAAATATAAAAGCGAACATTGAAGTCAATACTTAGAGGTGACAGGCTGTTTTATGCTAGGCGCACTTTTTTTTTTACTACTTTAATAAAACAGCAAAAACCGGAAAGACCAAATAATACAAAATGATAACGAAAAACAAATTAACCCCAACAAATAAGTAAATAAATAAATAAACAAGACACTCCCGCAAAAATAACCACCGGAATAGATTTCCCATAATGCACCACTGACCCATATATAGATAAATAATCGAGGAAAAATCCAACATTCGCGGCCTGACGATTGCGCCTAGAATGAAACAGCCTGTCACCTCTGAGTGTTGACTTCAATAGTTCACTTTATATATATATATATATATGTGTGTGTGTGTGTGTGTCTGTGAAAATATATAGAAAATAGGAATTATATATATATATATATATATATAATTCGATTGCATACCTTTATTCAAGCATGATTCATTAAATAATATACATGGCGCCTTCCTTGATAAATTTCAACTTAACATCAGTTGTTTCTTTTGTGTTTTTCCATTGGCTTATGTTTAGTATATTGTTGTGCGAGAAAATATGCTATTGCTTTCATTAACAAAGCGAATAGCTATATAACAATGCTCTTTAACTTTGTGCATATTTATTCTGTAATTTACTTACTTATTTTTCCAATGTTGGTTTTTGTGGGATTAATTAATCTGCATGTTGGATTATTTAAGAAATTGTCATTGTGAACTTTTAGTTTAATAAACGGGTCTATTTTCGGTAATTTCTTTATTCTATTGTTTAGTTTTAATTCGGCGACTGTGAACGTGCGTGCATTCGTGCTGGTGTGTGAGTGTATGCGTACACGCGTGTGCATACATAGATGCGCACATAAACACACACCTGCACAAAAGAAATAATTAATTGGTTTAACAACATCACTAACAAAATACTCAAACAGTAAGTAAAGTTAAATAACACAACCTACTAAAAAACAAAAGGAGAACACACGTATAGATGATACAAACACAAACACACAATACAGTTCATACGAACGCATACACAACCATAAATGCATTTGTTTTCTTCCATTTTTTGTTCGTTTCTTTCTTCCTTTTCTCGATTCTTTCCTTCCTTCCTTCAATCATTTATTCATTCATTACTTTTTCCCTTCTTTTTATTCATTCACTTATTATTTCCTGTCCCCCTTATTGTATTCCACCTTTCTTTCTTTCTTTCTTTCTTTCTTTCTTTCTTTCTTTAACCACCTTTATTTATTTATCTATCTATCTACCGTTCTTTTTTTATTTATTTATCCACCTTTCTTTCTTTCTTCACATTTCTTTCTTTCTTTCTTTCTTTCTTTCTTTAACCACCTTTATTTATTTATCTATCTATCTACCGTTCTTTTTTATTTATTTATCCACCTTTCTTTGTTTCTTCACTTTTCTTTCTTTCTTTCTTTCTTTCTTTCTTTCTTTCTTTCTTTCTTTCTTTAACCACCTTTATTTATTTATCTATCTATCTACCGTTCTTTTTTATTTATTTATCCTCCTTTCTTTCTTTCTTCACTTTTCTTTCTTTCTTTCTTTCTTTCTTTCTTTCTCCATTAATTCATTCCTTCATTCAAACTTTCATTCTTTCATTTTCCTTCCTTTATTCATCCACTCATTCTTTTCTTTCTTTCTTCTTTTCCATTTCTTTTTCCATTTCTTCATTCCTTCATTCTGCATTCATTCCTTATTTTTCCTTCTTTCCTTTATTCATTCATTCCTTACTTCCTACTTTGTATTCCTTCATTTGTTCCTTCATTCATGTTATTGATTGCTTCACTCATTCCGTCCAGCCTTCATTTCTCTCTTCATTCCTTCTATTCTTTACTCCATTCAATTCATTCTTCAATTCCTATCATCCTTCATCCATATAACTACTATTTTCCTTCTTTCCATTCCTTCGATCATTCCTTCTTGCCTTCATTTATGTCATTCCTTCCTTCCTTCCTTCCTTCGACCATTCCTTCTTGCCTTCATTTATGTCATTCCTTCCTTCCTTCCTTCCTTCCGTCCTTCCTTCCTTCCTTCCTTCCATTCCTTCGTCCATTCCTTCTTGCCTTCATTTATGCCATTCCTTCCTTCCTTCCTTCCTTCCTTCCTTCCTTCCTTCCTTCTTTCCATTCCTTCGACCATTCCTTCTTGCCTTCATTTATGCCATTCCTCCCTCCCTTCCTTCCTTCCTTCCTTCCTTCCTTCCTTCGACCATTCCTTCTTGCCTTCATTTATGCCATTCCTCCTCCCTCCCTTCCTTCCTTCCTTCCTTCCTTCCTTCCTTCCTTCCTTCCTTCGACCATTCCTTCTTGCCTTCATTTATGCCATTCCTCCCTCCCTCCTTCCTTCCTTCCTTCCTTCCTTCATTCCTTCCTTCGACCATTCCTTCTTGCCTTCATTTATGCCATTCCTCCCACCCTTCCTTTCTTCCTTCCTTCCTTCCTTCATTCATTCATTCCCTCATTTCTTCATTATTTCATGCATCGATTGATTTCGCCATTCACTTCTCCATTCATTCATTCATTCTATTCTTTACTCCATTCATTTTCTTCCTTCCTTACATCCTTCATTAATTCATTCCTTCTTCCATTCCTTCATTCATAACATTCCTTCCTTCATTCATTCATTTCTAAATTCATTCATATCATTATTTACTCCATTTATTAAATTCCTTCATTTCTATCTTGCCCTATCCACATTATTCCTTTCTTTCTTCTTTTCATTCCTTCCTGCTACCATTCATGTCATTTCTTCTTTCCTTCCTTCCTTCATTTATTTATTCATTCACTAATTTCATTCCCCCATTTACTCATTATTTGCTTCATTCATTTCATTCCTTCCCTCCTCCATTCATTTCATTCGATCTCTCCTTCACTCATTTCATTCCTTCCCTCTTTCATTTATTTCATTCCATTCAGGATTCAGTTTTTCTCTTCTTCTGTCCTCTTCTAGACATGCGTATTTTTCTCGTTTCATTCGTCATAGTATTATTTCTATCTCTACCCCTCTCTCTCTCTCTCTCACCCCCACTTCATCATCATCATCTCACTCACTTTCCTTTCTAAAATCACTCTCTCTAATCTCTATGTCTCTCCTTTCCACCTTATCTCCCCTCCCTATAGCTCTCTCCTTCCTCCTATCTCTTTCATCTCCTCCCTCTCTCTTTCTATTCACTACATTTCTCCTCTCCCCCTTCTATCTCTTTTTCCTTCACTCATTTTCTCCTACCCCCTCTATGAATTAGTTTTCCCTACATTACTCTTTTTCTCTTCCCCCCCACACCTCTTTCACCACCCACCTCTCTCGATCTCTTTCCTTCCTCTCTTTTACCTCCCACCGTCACCTTCCATCCTCTCTCATTGTCTTCCCTGTA